CTAACCGAAACTGTCAACTCCAGTGTGAATATATTTGTGTATCTGAAAATGAGTTCGAAATATCGAGCAGTGTTTATGAAAACATTTTTGAACAAGGAGAAAAAATAACTTTTACACTTACTATATATTTTTTTAATTGTTACTTTTTATAATAAACAAAGCAATTGCAATACTTTTAAGATTAGATAGGATCATCTACATGTTTATTGTCCAGATGCTGGCACATTGGCAGATCTATTGTGTTTTACCACACACACAAATACACACAGACGGACAGACTCACACACACAGACACACACAAAAATACACACACACACACAAACACACACACACACATACACAGAAACACACTCTCACAGACACACACTTTTTACATCACACGCGCTAACACACAGACAGACAGACAGACATACACATAAACACACTCTCACAGACACACACACTTTTGACATCACACAGACTTACACACAGACAGACAGACACACAAACACAAACACACACACACACACACACACACACACACACACACACACACACACACACACACACACACACACAATCACACACCGATGCACACACCTTCCCTTCTCTCTTATCCTTGCTCAATAACTACGTTGTATAAATTGTACAATAATAGATTGTACGTTTTCCTGTTCCATTAAACCCTGATAGCGGGTGCCCATGTACGCGATCCGGTCCGGTCGGGTCGGGTAGGATCACTCTTGTAGTCGGGGCTAGCCAGGTCGGGTCGGATCACTCTTGTAGTCGGGGCTAGCCAGGTCGGGTCGGATCACTCTTGTAGTCGGGGCTAGCCAGGTCGGGTCGGATCACTCTTGTAGTCGGGGCTAGCCAGGTCGGGTCGGATCACTCTTGTAGTCGGGGCTAGCCAGGTCGGGTCGGATCACTCTTGTAGTCGGGGCTAGCTAGATTGAGGGCGCAAAGCGTCCATCGTGACACAAACCGAACGACTCTGTCGGTGACTTACAGAAACAAACGCATTTGTGAGGCAGCGTGGTAGAATCAGGCTCTCGTCAAAATAATCAAAGTGAACAAACTTGCATTTTTCCACAGGTTTTTTTGTGTTTTTGTTTTTGTTTTGGGGGGGGGGGCTCAACACCTTTCCTGCCCATAAAAAAGAACTCACTTCTGTGTGGATTTTTCTGGAAAAACGTTGATTAAGGGCACACAAAAAATGTAAATTTTCAGTTACCACAGACTCTAAAGCTTGGCAGCCATTTTCTCACTAATTTTACCACTGAAAACAGGTGACCCCTACCTCCTTCAATCGCAAACATCTCGACTTGTACTCAAGATAAATGGATATTATTTTCATCCAAATAACGACAACTGAACAAGCTTTAAGATGATACCAGTGACTCTACATGCCCAAAAGTTGACGAGAGCCTGATTCCACCACGCTGCCTCACATTTGTTTTCAGGCCTGCGAATCGCGCGATCGGTGGTTTGCAGCCAATCACGACTAGGCTGAGTCACGTGTCCATGTTGACACTCAAAATCCTGTGGCGCCCTCTTCGAAAAAGTGCAGACTTTGGGAACAGAATTACCCTATTTGTGTGAAAAACAATAAAAGCGAAACTAACAAACGGTGCTATTCCTATTCTTTTTCTGGAGAAACGAAAGACAGCTTTAAAACAAAGACTACAGCACCATCTGAACCAATTTCCTTTCCGCGGGCACTTTTTTAGCCGAAAGAACTAGAGCTTTCTTCTTATGAACATTCTTTGATAGTACAAAGTTATCGATGTAACTATTGTAACCATGTTTATGGGATTCCAGGTTGCCGCAGCACTGCAACAGGGAAATGCGGAAAGAAGCCCTGGAAGCCATTGAGGTTAATTAAAACATGCGACTAGTATACAGAGGGCGTAAACCGGGCTACGATTGGCTGAATCTTTGACCCATGAATACATTAAGTAGGCTTACGGTACTCTGGGAATTCCCTGTTTCGGTCTCACGTATTTGACCATCTTCTGCAGCTACCTCTCAGCTCAGTGGCGTCGGTAGTCTAGTGGTTAGGCTACCGGACTCGTAATCGTGAGATTGCAGGTTTTGGGGTTCAAGCTTCAGCTCGGTCCGACGTTGTGTCTTTGGGAAAGGCACTTTACACGAATGTCCCACTTGGCTCGGTCCTATCGGAGACGGACATTAAACTAGGAGGTCCCGCCTCTTAAATAACCTAATTGTGTTGATCGGGGCGTTAAACCCATACCATTTCATCATTTTCATTTCCTCTCAGCTCAACTGCTTTTTATGCGTACGGCCACTTAGAAAGGCAAACAAAAGTAGCTAAATTAGACCCAAATCTCGATCCCCACACATTGGATGTCCAGAAAAACTATCTTGCACGAACCTCTCATCCTACGATCTTTTTAGAAGCGTTTGCCGTGAACTTATAATTTCGGGGTTCATAACTTGGAACATGATGATGCCATAAAGCAAAAAAATAAGAGTGGACCTACCATATAGTGTAGTCTACAGTCTATGTCATAAAAACTACTAGATCTAGATCTAGAATTTAGATCTAAATAGATCAACAAACCTGTCGATATAAATGATAAATTCGCCTTAAATAAACAGTGTTTGGCTCGAGATCTAGATCTAGATTAACTTAACTAGATCTAGTTATGTATCAGAAGGATCTAGATCCTTCCAATGATGGCTTGTTGGTCAAAGGTTGATTCTTTGCAGTCCACAAGAGCACAAAGTGGCGCTAGGGGACTACAGCCCCCTAATAACTTCCTACAGAAATTATTATGCAGTGAGGCGGAAGCTAGCAAAGGGTCAGCTGAAGTCTGTTCATGTTTTTCTCAAAGTTCTCACACAGAGAGCGCCGAATGCAAAGTCACTTGATTTTATTCAGTAACGGATGTCCTGGGCTGAATAGGAATAAAGGAATGATAGCTTTCCTTCAATCACTCATTGAAAAGAAATATGTATGAAAGAGTCTATCACATTTTCTTGCCCAATGATAGGGACTTTGGACTAATAGAAAAAGTGGAAAATGTGGAGCGAGCCATGATTCCCACTGGTGAAAGCAATCCAAGAAAGTAGAAAATCACACATTTTCATTGTGAATTCCACCCAGAGGAAGGACATTTTGGACTTAATTAAATGTACCAATGAGTGCCTTTGCCTTCCGAAGTCTACATTCAAAGACACCTCCGGCCGTAAATTTATTTCGGGAATATCCACTGGTTCTCTTTTGGACAAAGCGAAGAGCCAAACAACATGCAGTCTTTATTAACAGTGGAAGCTGACCCAACAGAAGTTTAGTCCGGTACACTGTCTACGAAGTGGAACTGTGGAAGAAAGTGGCATTGTTCAAACGTGGGATTCGATCTGTTCCCACAGGAGAGAAGAAATACAACAAACTCCTGTTGATATGAAGGCAAAGGTGAAGGATGTGATGGGACTCTGCAGTAAAAAGATCATTCCCACAAATGTCAGACACTTCTAAGAAAGTCTCCAGTCTGGTGTCAACGAAGACAACGCTGTGGAATAGACTACTTGCTGACTTGGACTTAACCCCAGTGTTGAACGTCCTTGGGTCTTTTCCCCCTTTTAAATCAAATAAAATGTCAGGTCTAAGGGAAGGTTAAGTTCAACAGCATGAACCTAACCTTGGTATTGAAAGCAAGAAAATTAGAATTTGAGGAGGGGTGCCTTTTCACCTGTAGATATGCTGCTACAAATCTCTCAGAAAGTTGAAAACGTAACCTTCCTGCTAATAAAACTTTCTTTCCACAAGTAGCTGTCCTTATCAAAATCATGGTTTTTTGCCATTTTCTCGAAACTCTGGAAGTGTGACTGAGCCTTGGGTAGAGGACTAAGCCCTAGCATTAATCGGTTACATATTGCTGTTGTTTACATTTCTCAACATCATGGTTCAGACCCTTGCCTCGGAGTATTTAGGCAAACTTTCCATCCTTTCACATTGCGCAGAAAATTCACCGGAATCTATAGGGTGATGCCATGGCTCTCGCCTTCACACGTAGAAGACACCTGTTCGAGTCCCGCGTGAAGAGATTTTTCATTCAAGTATCTCGGTCTTTCTGCAGTGACATTGTATTCCTCTCAGCCCGGGTAGACCTAGACAGGCTGAGTCGAGGCCCACCTCCTATATGATCTAAATAAAATTGTGTCGATAGGTCGTACATTTTAAAACCCTGAAAAAAATCCGACAAAGCAAGACAAACTCCCAAATAATATACAGCCCGTGTGAGACTGTTCACACAATGAAAATGTCATATTTAGGCAAATATATAATTATAATCAAAACGTTAGCTCAAATCGATGATCAAACTTCCACTGGGTTTCAAATTTCGACTGTGGGTCGACTTATAATTGACTGACAAAAGAATGTAGCTCAGGGGTCGACCTTTGACAAGATACATTTTTTTAAAAATCGGTTGTGGTAATGAGCACACGAGGGCAGACGAAACGAAGAGGTGTATTTTGAATCTGACAAACGAAGACATGTACCCCTTTTGATTGAGGGTCGATATTGTCACTACTATGACTTTGACATTCAGACTTTTATAATTCTGTGCTGAATGTTTGCTCAAATAATTAGAACATTGGTTGTTATAGACTGTCTACCCTGATGCTCGGTACTACTAAATAAATCAATATAATTATATGACACAGATATCTTAACAAGAAATACATTCCCGTTATATAATTTAAATGATATAAGCGTCATCTTATTAAAAATTGCTGCCATAATGTTAGAGTGAAATTGCAGGAGTACAAAGAATTAAAGAACGTTGTTAAATTATCATTATTTGTTATCGATTAAGTCCTTGTTTCCTTTGTACTGAGCGTATAAATCAAGGTCTGTGACTGGGATAGGGGAGGAGCCAAGCGCTAAAGTAACTGTGGTGTCGATGTCCCACACGTCTCTCCCACCCAGAATGTCGATGTCATATTTGTGGGGAAACAACACAACTTACTCTCGCGACCAGAAAATGAGCTTGCCAATGACAACACCGTCACCTTCTGGTTCACAATATGCAAATATCGTAAGCGACGAGCAGTTCATCATTGTCCAAGTGGTCACAGGGGCGGTCATCACTGGTATCCTCAGTCTGTTCGGCGTGGCCTCCAACATCATCAACATTGTGGTGTTTGCCAAGCAAGGCTTTCAGGACAGCATGAATATCAGCCTCATGGGTGAGATGGCAATTATCACATCTACAGTAAAGTTACTAATAAATAACCAAATCTATTGTTGCTTACAACTAATTTTTCTATCAAAAGGTCATGGAGTAGAACATAACACACATATGTGAGGTGGATATAATAGACACAACGTTGAAATATAGCACCCAGCACATTTAAATACCGTCAACAAGCTGTGCGTTTACTCTAAAGCTCCGGTTACACGCAGCGATAAATTGTATCAGATTCGTCGTATGAGACAACTGTCCGTCTTATCGAACTGTGTTGTCTGTTTACACGTTCCAATCTATCATTAGGTTTTCTTTCGATTGCAGAGATTCCTTGTCATAAAGCCACCATGTCTCTTTGCGACGACAGCGATTTGCCTGTAGGTTTCGAGCTCTGGACCTAATGAATGAAAGGCGAACACTGTACCTCTAGATCACGAGAGACGATAGATAGGAACGAGTAAACAGACAACACAGTTCGATAAAACGGACAGTCCTCTTAAACAACGAATCTAATACAATTTATCGTTGTGTGTAACCGGGGCTTAAGCCCAGAAATCTTTTTATTTTTCAGGAGAGAGAAAAAATTGAGTCCTCGCGACTTTCCCGAGTTAGGAAGAAATCCGAGAACTTCTGAAGCGCTACTGGTTTGGAACATAATAATATGACAATGGGCGGCTCAAATCGTGAACTCAAAACAAAACTTTTTTGAGATATGAAATGAGCTAAACGCAAAAGAATTTTTTTTAAGTGCACTCAAAAAAAAGCTTTTAAAAACCCGCTGTGCATCAGGCACTTTCCATTTCTCAACTTCTGACGACAATTTCTCTCTACGTCTCCTTAGGTCAAACATAAATGTTAATAAAGTAAGGCGTAAAATGGCCACTATATTCAGAAAGTCAACAAAAGAATGTAGTGGTAGATACTTTACACCCTCATCGACACAGTTTTGATCATTTAGAAGGCGGTCACTTCTGCGCTACCTGTCATGGCCAACTCGAACATTAATCAAAGCAAAAAACACGCAGTGGCTACAACATGTTTGGGGATCAAATATCCCAAATCAGTAAAGACAGAAGACCGTATTTACTGACGTAGTGTTGGGTCCTCATACCTTACCCAGCACGTCCCTGGGTAATGGAGAGGGGAAAGGCCTTCAGTTACGGAGATTAACTGCTAAGCAGTCGCGCACCAAATGTGAAATGGTCGTAGAGAATAGAAGAGAATCCTGGTGGCACAGGTGCTTCAGAAAATACCCGATATTCTCAAAGAAGGTACCATCTTGTCTGGTCCTGGCAACAAAACCCTTAAATTATATCTATGCCAGCGGTGAGATTCCAAAAAAATATCCATGATTAAGTCAGGTTTAATAGCCTTACCTACAACACCATGTGCCACTGAATGTGAGATGCAGAGAACAATAAACCTTATGAGTCATTTTTAAAAAGTTGTGCTGCGATTTATAATGGGGAAAATGAGAAAAAGTCTAAGACCAGAGATACCCAAAACACAATTCGGCTTTGAACCTGACAAGGGCACCAGACATTTTATATTCACCTTTTTTATTGAATAATGGAAAAACGTGTATTTATGTTTCACAGATTAGTCAAAGGTTTTCGCTAAAGTTAGACTTGGTGGCTTATTCAAAGTATTGGAAGAGCTAGTCACAGATGAAACATTTCTAAGAATTATTTAAAATTTGTACTTGGACCAGAAGACTGTTGTAAGAATTGAGGGAGAGTACAGCGAATATGAGCAGATTCGAAGAGGAGAGAGGCAAAGATGTGTTATGGCATCATGCCACGTCTTCCACATGTACGGTGAAACAATCCTTAGAAAAAGAATGGCCAGGTCTCAAAGTGAATGGCTAAAATATTAATAACATTAGATATGCCAATGACAAAGTTTTAATAGCAGATTGAGAAAAAGACTTTCAATCTGTTATGGATTCTGTTGTAACGAAAAGAAAACGTAAAGGGTTATTGTGAAATGTGAAGAAAACAGAATGCATGTTAATATTAATTTTGAAAATCAATAAATCCTACTTGCAATGGCATGAGCAAAAGCAAAAAGATCATACAAGTTCAGCAGTTTAAATATCTAGGATATATAATTACATATGATACCAAATGTTCCACAGAAGTAAGAAAATGAATAACAGAAACTAATGATAGTTTCAATAAAATAAGGCCAATCCTGGAAATAAAAAACTTAATGAATAAAAAAAAAAGAAAATTCTGGAATGCTATGTATGCTCAACCTTTCTATATGGCAAGGCTGGACAATCACTACAGCCAGTGAAAAAGAAATAAAAGCAACAGAACCGTGGTTTCTCTGGAGTCTGCTGAGAATTCCCTTGGAAAAAAATCAAATGAGGCAGAACTTGAAGATGCACACGTGGGCTGCTTGTTGATTTAAAAAATTAAAACATCAAGAAAGGACAAATGCAGTTTTTGGGACACTTTTATAGACATAGAGGCCTTGAACACCTAACTCTCACTGGCAAAATTGAAGGGAAGCGAGACAGGCGTAGATCCAGAACAACCTACTTGGAGAGCTTAAACAGATTGGTGAAGGGGAAAGATCAGGATAATGTAGCTTTATGGAGAGGATCCAAGCAAAGGAATGAATGGAGAACCATTATTGCCGATGTCTGTTTCAAATCTGGCACTCGGTGATGATGATGTTTTACTGAAGAAAAAAAAATTATGAAATTTCACTTTAGTCTGATTTAACTCTTTTCATGTCAGAAGGATTTCACCTTCGTGTCATTTTTCCATCTCGTAAAATATTTATAATTTCAGGTCTCGCTGTGTCTGACCTGTTCTCCCTGCTGACCACGATGTGGCTAAGCATCTGTGTTAACCCACTCTTCTACAACTCTGAGTTGCCTTTTCACCCTAATGATATCATGAACCTCACGGGGGGCATACCCCATATTATCTGTGTCAAAATCGCCACTTTTATCACCGCCTTCATCACTTTCGAACGATGTCTGTGTATCGCTGTCCCTTTGAAGGTGAAGACGATCATCACACCGGGAAGGACAAAAACAATTATTATCTCAATCTACATTGCCATGTCTGCTTTGATGATACCCTACTGTCTTGGAAGCAGACTTGAGTGGGTTTTCGATTTCAACAGGAATGCTACTGTGCTAATAACCACGTACACGGCCGAAAGAGAAATGTTAGAAGCCATTACTTTCCTCACCCAAGGCGTATTTGCTACTACGTTTTCTTTCGTCTTCGTCATCTGCTGTACCATCGTTCTTATCGTCAAACTCAACAGTAAAACAAAATGGCGACAGGCGACTGCTACCAAGTCTGATCGTGCAACGGAAGGAGTTGGGGTCAAAGATCAAAAGGTTGTGAAAATGGTGACCTTCATCGCTTCCATTTTCATCGTTTGCGCCTTGCCTTCCACGCTCCTGTTTCTCTACATGGTGATTGACATTGATTTCCGAATTGATGGTTTCTATAAAAATATCTATCTAGTCATTTGGTCTTTAGCATTTCTAACAGAAACTGTCAACTCCAGTGTGAACATATTTGTGTATCTGAAAATGAGTTCCAAGTATCGAGCAGTGTTTATGAAAACATTTTTAAACAAGAAGGAAAAATAACTTTTTAACAACAGAAAAAAATGTCGTCTTTTTAATAATAAGAAATCGCAGTACTTTTAAGATTAGATCAATTCATGTATATGTTGTTGTTTTTTAGATGCTGGTACATTTTTGTTGGGTTTTTACCACACACACACTAGCACACACACACACACACACACACACACACACACACACACACACACTAGCACACACACACACACACACACACACACACACACACACACACACACACACACACACACACACACACACACACACAAACGCACACACACACACACACACACACACACACAAGCGGACACACACACAAGTGCCTGCTCTCTCAATTATCTCTTCCACGTATATTTATAAAATTACAGACAGATTAAGATTCAAACCAGATGGTGTGAGACACTCCATCCTCTCTATCTGTCGTAATGTGTGGGGAGAGAAATAGAGAATTTAGCTGATGTCCCGTTGTGAGGGACGGACGGACGATCAGGTTT